GCTAGGATTACCGGCATGAGCCACCACACCCAGCTAATTTTAATATTTTTAGTAGACAGGGTTTTACCCTGTTGGCCAGGCTGGCCTCAAACTCCTCATCTGAAAGTGATCTGCCCGCCTTAGCCTCCCAAAGTGCTGGGATTACAAGCGCCTGCCATCCAGTTAATTTTTGTAGTTACGCCCAATTAATTTTTGTAGTTTTTGTAGAGACAGGGTTTCACTACATTGGCCAGGCTGGTCTTGAACCCCTGACCTCAAGTGATCCGTCCACTTCGGCCTCCTAAAGTGCTGGGATTACAGGCGTGAGCCTCTGTGCCCAGCCACTACATTCAATTTTGAACATTTTTCATTGCCTCAAAAGAAACCCTGCACCCTTTAGCAATCAACTTCCAACTACTCCCTCCTCCCCCACCAGCCTCAGGCACCCAGTAATCCACTTTCTGTCTCTATGGATTTGTCTATTCCGGACATTTCACATTAATGGAATCATACACTCTGTGGCCTTACGTGACTGGCTTCTGTCACTTAGCACAATGTTTTCAAGGTTCACCCATGGCGTAGCATATACAAGGCCAGGGATTTTTGGTTTTAAATTTATTTTGGAGACATGGTCTCCCTCTGTGACCCAGGTTGGAGTGCAGTGGCACGATCTCGGCTCACTGGAGTCTTGCGCTCCCGGGTTCAAATGATCCTCCCACATCAGCCTCCCAAGTAGCTGGGACTACAGACGTGCACCATTACGTCTGGTTAATTTTTGTATTTTTTGTAGAAACAGGATCTCCCTATGTTGCCCAGGCTGGTCTCGAACTTCCTGGCTCAAGTGATCCTCCCACCTCTGCCTCCCAACGTGCTGGGATTATAGGCATGAGCCACCACACCCAGCCAGGCAGGAGTTTTTGCCTTACGCGCAAAGCCCCAAACAGAACATGACACAGAGAGCCAGGCCATAAACATTAACTCAGTGAACGGATGAGTCAGGATTTGAACTCAAGCCTATGAGCTGCAAAGATCCTGCTCTTAACCCCTGCACGGCACGGTCCACTCCAGCTGGCCTCACTGCCGTGAGGACTGGAATCCTGCCTATCCCATCTTCCCACAGGAACTCAGGCCGGCCCCGCCACTGAGGCCCTCTGCAGGGGAGGTATGTGGGGGTGGGGGCCTGACTGTGGGGAGGGGCCAACACCCCCATGCCCAGCCCCTCCCGGTACCTTGAGGTTGTGCCCATCAAAGGGCAGGGAGCCGCTGACCAGGGTGTACAGGATGACCCCCAGGCTCCAGATGTCCACCTCCGGTCCATCGTACTTCTTGCCCTGAAACAGTTCTGGGGCGGCGTATGGGGGGCTCCCACAGAACGTGTCCAGCTTCGAGCCCAGCGTGAACTCATTGCTGAAGCCGAAGTCAGCAATCTTGATGTTGGCCTCGGCGTCCAGCAAGAGGTTCTCGGCCTAAGGGGAGAGGAGGAGAGGGTGGAGAGTGGGACTCCAGGCCAAAGCCCTTCATGGACGTGGGAGGCAGACAGGAGCGCAGGCTCTAGGGCTGGCCCACGGGGATCAACTCTCAGGCCCGTCCCTTACTCTCTGCCTGACCTTAGGCAGTGACTTTACCTCACTGGGCCTCAGTTTTCTTATCCATAGAATGAGGATAATCACCCCATCTTTAAAAAAAACAAAAAGCCGGCCACAGTGGCTCACGCCTGTAATCCCAGCACTTTGGGAGGCTGAGGTGGGCGGATCACCTGAGGTCAGGAGTTCAAGACCAGCCTGACCAATATGGTGAAACCCCATCTTTAAAAAAAAGAAAAGAAAAGAATGGGGATAATCATAGTCCTTACCTCACAGCGTAGTTTGAGAATTATGAGTTAATCCACATAGAAAACCTAGAATAGGCCAGACACGGTGGCTCATGTCTATAATCCCGGCAATTTGGGAAACCAAGAAAGGTGGATCCCCTGAGGTCAGGAGTTCAAGACCAGCCTGGCCAACATGGTGAAGCCCTGTCTCTACTAAAAATACAAAAATTAACCAGACATGGTGGTGCGTGCCTGTAGTCCCAGCTATTTGGGAGACTGAGGCAGGAGAATTGCTTGAACCTGGGAGGCAGAGGTTGCAGTGGGCCACGACTGCCTCTGCATTCCAGCCTGGGTGACAGAGTGAGACCTTGTCTCAAAAAAAAAATAAAACAAAAACCTAGAGGCCAGGTGCGGTGGCTCACGCCTGTAACCCCAGCACTTTGGGAGGCCGAGGCGAGCAGATCACCTGAGGTTAGACTTCTAGACTAACCTGACCAACATGGTGAAACTCCATCTCTACTAAAAATACAAAATTAGGGCCGGGCATGGTGGCTCACACCTGTAATCCCAGCACTTTGGGAGGCCAAAGCAGGTGGATCACTTGAGCTCAGGAGTTTGAGACCAGCCTGCCCAACATGGTGAAAACCCGTTTCTACTAAAATACAAAAAATTAGCTGCGCTTGGTGGCCTGTAATCCCAGCTACTCAGGAGGCTGAGGCAGGAGAATCGCTTGAACCCAGGGGGCGGAGGTTGCAGTGAGCCAAGATTGTGCCACTGCACTCCAGCCTCGGCAACAGAGTGAAACTCCATCTCAAAAAAAAAAAAAAAAAAGAAAGAAACAAAAAGAAAGAAAACCTAGAACAATATTTTACACCCAGCGAACACTATGTAAAATTCTATTGTCCCGTGTGGTCTGCAGAGCTGGGAGTCTTCAGGTAATCTCCTGCCCCTCTTGGGCCCTCAGGTTACCCAGCAGAAACGAAATAAGGCCTGAGAGCTCAAGACCCAGAAAAATAAAAGCAATAATTTAATCCTGGCTGCATACCTACCATGCACTGGCCTCTGTGGACTATGGATTATGACAGTGTCCGTCTACATAATGTGAAGGTGAAACTATAGATTCGTGGAGAATTCCAGCTGCAAATCCCGGCTCCACCACTCACTCACTATGTGACTTTAGGTGGGTTACCAGACCTCTCTGTGCCTCAGTTTCCTTGTGTGTAAGCAAACGGTGATCACGGCACCTGCCTTATAGGCAGTCATGGGGTTGTCTTTTTTTTTGTTTTTTTTTTTGAGATGGAGTCTCACTCTGTCGGTGGAGTGCAGTGGCACTATCTCGGCTCACTGCAACCTCCGCCTCCCGGGTTCAAGCGATTCTCCTGCCCCAGCCTCATTAGTAGCTGGGACTACGAGCACATACCACCACACACAGCTACATTTTGTATTTTTAGTAGAGAAAAGGTCTCGTCATGTTGGCGATGCTGGTCTCGAACTCCTGACCACGGGTGATCCGCCCACCTTGGCCTCCCTAAGTGCTAGGATTACAGGTGTGAGCCACCACGCCAGGCCAGGGACTACATCTCTTTCCCTGGCATTTGAGGCTCTGCCATCTAGCACCAAGGTCACATTTGAGTTGGTCCCCTTGGTTGGTACCCCTGGTGTACTAACAGGACCCCAAAATTCGTTTTAGCTGCCTCTGGGGCCCTCCACCAGGGGCGTGCAACCTCCAGGTTAATCATGGAAGCCTCTAAGGCGCTCCCTCCAGGGTTGTATAAAGGGACACCGTAGCCCAGCAGAGGGAAGGGAAGAGACGGTGAGCACTTCAGCCTCTGCAGCAATTCGTTTTTTGTTTTCATTTTTCATTTTTTTTTCAGATGCACGGTTTTTTTTTTTTTTTTTTTTTTTTTTTGTTTTTTGCTCTATTGCCCAGGTTGGAGTGTCTCCTGAGTTCAGACTGGTCTCAAACTCCTGACCTCAAGCGATCCGCCCGTCTCGGCCTCCCTAAGTGCTAGGATTACCGGCATGAGCCACCACACCCAGCCTTCAGACGCACCTTCTGCTTTCGTATGTTTTCTTTTTTGTTTTTAGAGACAGGGTCTTGCTCTGTCTCCCAGGTTGGAGTGCAGTGGAGCGATCGTGGCTCAGTGCAGCCTCAACCTCCTGGGCTCAAGGGATCCTCCTGCCTCAGCCTCCTGAGTAGCTGAGACCACAAGCATACAAGCTAATTTTTTACAATTATTTTTTGTAGAGACGAGGGTCTTGCTGTGTCGCCCAGGCTGTTCTCGAACTGCTGGGCTTGTCAAGCAAACCTCCCACCTTGGCCTTCCAAAGTTCCAGGACTATGGGCGTGAGACTGCACCTGATACTCCATAGGAATCTGGCTGTGGAATTTTATGTCTTTGGAATCCAATAACAGTTTTTTAAATGGTGCTTGTGGCTGGGCGTGGTGGCTCATGCCTGTCATCCCGGCACTTCGGGAGGCCAAGACAGGCAGATCACTTGAGGTCAGGAGTTCAAGACCAGCCTGGCCAATGTGAAACCACATCTCTATTAAAAATACAAAAATTAGTGGGGCACAGTGGTGCACACCTGTAATCCCAGCAACTCAGAAGGCTGAGGCAGGAGTGAGCTGAGATTCCAGAGCTTTGGGGGAGCTGAGGTGGGAGGATCGCCTGAGCCCGGGAGTTTGAGACCAGCCTGGGCAACAGAGTGAGACCCTATCTCTATAAGAAAATTAAAAATTAGCCAGGCATGGCGGCTCACACCTGTGGTGCCAGCTACTCAGGAGGGCTGAGGCAGGAGGACGGCTTAAGCCCAAGAGGTCGAGGCTACAGTGAGCTGTGATGGAGCCATCACACTCTGGCATGGGCAAAACCCAGCCCTTCCTGATAAACAGTTCCAGAAGCATTTCCTCAAAGCACTTAACGCGCTGCCTAGCACACAGGTGCTTGTAAACAACAGTCAAGACAACTGAATTAGAGCAATCAAATGTCCAACCACCTGGTCGTGGAGGAGGCTGAGAGGTGCAGGGGAAGGTGTGGGGTGGGGGCCCCGGGGCCACAGGCACTCGAAGGGCTCCCGGCTCAGCTCCGGTAGGCAGCTGAGTCTCTTCCTGCCTAATACTGGCCAAGGTGGCTTTTCTCTCTTTTTTTTTTTTGGGACGGAGTTTCGCTCTCGTTACCCAGGCTGGAGTGCAATGGCGCGATCTCGGCTCAC